ATCTTTCTCCCGCGGAGCGGCTGGTAGTTTCGAACCGCTGACCTTAAGGTTCGCAGCCCGATTCGTAACCACTACGCTACCAGAGCTCCTTCAAAGTCAACTAACAACATTCAATTTTAACTTACAAGACAGAGGAAGGAGTTCATCCCACAACCAATTCTAGACCGTAAACTGTCTTACACAGGGCATGTGGAGATCTAGGGGCTGACAGTGCTAACCTCAGAGTCCAGTGACGCTCAAAAATTGCAGGTCAAATCAGATCAGAATCTAGAATTTACCTTTCCACAGGAAGTTTTTTCTTTCTTTTTTTGATATAGGATCTGAATATACTGAATTGAATATACAACACCTTTTCATGAAAAACGCAGGTAAATTCCACTCCTTGACCTGCCTAACTGGGAACAATTTTGTCATCTTGGACCAGGGTAGACTACAATGTCTCCCTCAGCTCAAAATGGCAATTCTGTCATGTGTCACCAGTGCTGGTACCTCATTGGTCCCTCACCACTGGTGACAAGATCTTTACTGGGGATTGGGACATGGCTCCCAACCATTTACACAATACTGAAGCCCAGCTCTTAAGACAAGGCACTAAAGGACTCAACTCCTATATGCCAATAAAACAAACATTAAGGAGCAACTCCAAGGGACCAGAGCAACTCCCGAGGCTTTAAGCCCAAAGTACAACCCTTTCTCTAAGACCCTTTCTCTAAGATCCTTTCTCTAAGACCCTTTCTCTAAGATCCTTTCTCTAAGACCAGAAGGGCTCTGAGGATCCCCAGGGACCCCAAGGAGACAGAAGTGAAGGTCAGAAAGGACAGAGGAACCAGTCACATGTTCCTCGCCCAAGGCCATCACCAGATAGGTTGGCCAGTAATGCAGGCCCCAGCGGGGGTCCTGCCCCCTTCTCAAAAATCTGTGGGCTTGGGCCTGACTAGTCCTGATAGCATCTGAGTCACCTCTGAATACTGGGACCTGCTGTCGCCACACCAAGGCGCCTCAAGGACTTCTGGACTGCCCACTGAAATACAAACACATACCTTGAGAACTGCATGATGTTTTTCAAGGAGGTAATAAAAGAATCAGTACAAACAAATCTTTACATCATTTTGTTCAAAAATCCAACTTGGACTTTCAAGTTTCAAAACTGTTTTCAACAAAATACTCGGACATCATGTCAAGGGCCAATCTCAAGGACCCTTTCCAGAGGGATGCCACAGGAAAGAAAAGTGAGGGTACTCTGACTAAACCAGACTTCTATGGGCTGTCACTGGCCAGCCTGGCCAGCCACCCTGTTCAAGGCACCTTCTCCATAATTACAAGGAAAAGCCAGGCACTGGGGCCTCCCCTGCCAAGGTCAGATGGCATCAGTCACCACAAAAGCAAGGGCACCATGGATTGAATGGGGTGGGGCCTGTTGGCAAGAGGTAACTCAGCGAAGCAGCGAGCTTTTTAAAATCGAGGTAGGTCCTCCACAGAACAAAATGTATAGATGTTCTGCATCCAGAATGCAAATTAAAATAGGGAGATTGTACATCCTCCAAAGCATCCCTCCCACTCCTTCCCAGGTGAGGTATGACTTTATAAAAGAATGTTCTGGAACTGTAAGGATCACTTTGCTCTGAAGGAAAAGAATTTATGCCACTGGTATGGGATGGCCTTCATATGAAGCTTACTACTTAGTGCCTTCTCTAATAATTTAGTCCTCTATTCTCAACATTGGAGTTTACATTTAAAATTAATTTTATATTTAAATGTTTCAGCATTGTAAATACAGGGATTTAAAAAAAAGGTTCCAAAAAGCAATATATTTTTAAAGAATAACTGCAGGGACAGAATTTTGCTCAAAACTGGATAAATTTTATGATTAAAAAGGTTATTTAGTTTAGTAATATACAACCACAACACTTGGACTTCAACTTATATGAAAAAGGGAATTTTCTGGGTACCCCGGGAAATCACCCCATGTGGGTGCCTCTTATTTCATGCCTTCCCTTATAACTTGAATAGCTTTACAATTTTTAAAGTGAAAAAACTTCTTTACAAGTCTGCCTACATTGAACTTCCACTGGATTTTAGTCAAGACTTGCACAATATTCCCTTTTGAGGTGTAAATTATTATATATGCCTGAGTGGGGTTTTTTTGTGTTTTAAGAAAAAGCTAAAGTGAATAGAGAGAAATACTGTTAACTGATGGTACACGGAGGGGATTATCATCATTGTAATGAAACAAGGTGTATGATTTGTTCAATGTAAAACTGATGATCTGCCCTGTAAACTTTGTCAATCACAATAAAAACCTTAAAAAAAGTGCCAATTAAATATAAATTACCCAAATTAAAAAAAAACACCACAAGTGGATCTTTAACTGAAAATATAAATAAAAACTGAGTGCTGGGGTTAAGAGTTTAATCCCCCCTTCCCAGAAGGAAAATTCCCAGGGGTTCTGAGCACCCTATTCCCCTACCCTCTCTTACAATTTAATTTGCAAATAAATTAGCTCAATTTTTTGGTTCCTAGAATATGGATCAGCATTTATCTAAACTCATTTTCCTGAGATGAAAGACCCATGAGTGAGAAAAAAAGTATAAAATTCACTCAAACCTTTTTCAAAAGGAAAATAGCCCACAGCTTCATACCTAGAAGTCTAAAAAAGGAGACGCTCATAAATAGATTAGAATTTCAACTTTTCCAATAGGAGAAGCCGACGTATGGCCATAAGGCAATAACTCCGCCCTCCTCCCGGAATAACAGGTTATGCGTGGAAAGGCAGCTGGCTGTACAGAATCTGCCATGCTCTATTCCAGCAGGCACACTCACACCCGAAGTAACTCCAAGTAGAATTTTTAAAGCCGCTACTATCCTCCCTCCAGGAAAAGACTAAAGTGATTACACACACCAAATTCTCACAGTTCTAAAAGCAGAAGTTACCCAAGTAACCGACACTCCTCTCTAAAAGGCTGTTCATCAATGTTTGCCTCCCCTACTGCGGAGACCTGAACTGCGCACCATAAGGTCAGCAGTTCGAGCCCACCGGCTGCTCTGTGGGAGAAAGATGACTTTCTGCTCCTGCAAAAACTTTAAAAGCCTCAGAAACCCGATACTGGGTCGCTAGGAGTCGGAACCAACCGACTCCAAGGCACTTAACAACTCAGAAGGGGTCCTGGTGTGGCGCTTTAGGATAAGCAGAGATCTGCTAACTGATCACGTTTGCAGTTAAAACCCACCAACCGCTCGTTGGAAATCCTATATAGGGCTGCTCTAAGTAGAAACAACTCGAGGAAACTTAAACACTCCGTAAAGTCGAAGCTGAAGATGCTCATTCGATGGTGAAGGGCAGGATCACGTGGTGTGTGGAAATAAGCAAGAGGGGGTGGGGGGAGAAAACAGCTAAAAGAACTCAAGCCCATAAAGAGGCTGAGGCACAGCTGATGTAGCTTTTTCCAAGGGAAACTGAGGCCCTGGGAGAGCCAAGTGGGAACCTCTCAACCAGGGAAACCAATTCCTGTAGGGGTAGAAGGCTCGGGACAAGGGGCGCGGCCCGAGGGGCTCACAGCCGGCAGAGGGCAATGGCCAAGGTCCGTGAGGAGGCCATTTCCATCTTGGGGATCAGCCGTGGGGCCACGAGGCCGACCAGCGATTCCACATAAGAGAGCTTAGGGGCCAGAAGATGTTTTTTATAGTGCAGGAAATTGAGACTACCATGGAGCAGACAAGCGCTTAAGCACCGATGGGGGCCCTATAACCCCGGGTTAAAGAGCCAGTTAAAGATGCACATGTGTACTGAGTTTCTGTTACGGGTGATGAAAAAATTCGAAGCGGATCGTCGTGATGGTTTCAGAAGACGGTGAACGTAATTAACCTCACGACACTGTACAAGGGAAGATGGTTGAAATAAATGTTTTGTTACTCTTTTACCAGAATAAAATCAAAAATTTTAAATTCTCGTAAAAGTCCTCTGCATGAATAAAAGAAACCTGTCCAAACAAAAAATACAGCCCCTCATTCGGAGAAGCGACCCCCTCGCCCCCCGAGCGCACGTGGAAACCAGGTCTCCACCCGCACAGGCACTACTCTCACATCCCTCCATTCCCAACTCTCACAGTACTGAAAGCAAACACACACACACACACACACACAGACCAAAAACTACCAAGAACCGAGCTCGCTCTCCGCAACGCACACACACACAACAGCCTCTCTCCCTATTTCTACTGAAAACAGCAGAATAACTAAATTCTTAAAAGAAGCCCAGGGTTCAGAAAGAGTGTTTGGGGGATGCAAATCAGGTCTACACACACACACTAGGGGCTTCTCAGCGCACAACTACCTGGAAACAACGGTTGCCTAGTTCTACCAGAAAGAATAAAATTTACGTGAAAGAGGAGGACTGGGTCCCAGGGTCCCCACACATGGAACCCGTCGAGGGCATTCAGCGAGCAGCCAGGTCTACACACACAAACACACACAACTTCCTAGGTCATGATGCCATTATCAGTTCGGACATGACTGCCGTGTTAACAACGACGACAAAGTAAATTCATGCGACAGGAGGGCACCCCTTCCCTTGATTTGGGAACCGTGAGGAGGCCCTCTGAAACAAGCACGCGGAAACCAGGTGTACACACGCACGCCCCCACCCAAGTGGGCGCGCTTCCTCGGAGGCAGCCCCACGCACTCACCTCGTCGTCGTGGTGCTGGCAGAAGCCCAGGCGCTCGGGAAACACCGAGAGAATGGAGAAGGGCGAGCTGGGGAAGGGCGGCCCAAGCCCGAGCTGCTGTGCTGCGGCGGCAGCCGCGGCAGCAGGACCCGGTGGGCCGCGCTCGATGTAGTGGTCCTTGGTGAGGCGCACGCGCTGATGCGCGCGGACGCAGTTGTCGCACAGGTGCTCTTGGCAGTCGAGGCAGCGCGAAGAGGCGGCGTTGCCTTCATCGCATGAGCTACAGCCGTGAGGCCGGCGCAGCAACAGCGCCGACGGCGAGGCGGCCGATCCCCCCGGCGCGGCGCGAGGCGGCACGGGTGGCTGCGGCGCCTGCGAGAGCGGCGGCGCGGAAGCGGATGCACGCGGGTGCGCGTGGTGCGCGAGGTGCCGGTGGTTGCTGTGACCACCCGCGCCCGCCGGTGCGCCCGTACGCCCGTTGTTCTTGGGCGGCGGCTCGTCAGCCGTGGCTACCACAGCATCAAGCAGGTTACTGAGTAGGAAGGCAGAAGAGGGCAGCGCATCCATACCCGCTGCCTCGGCCAGCACCACTTTCTGGTCGCAGATGGGACAGCGCAGCTTGAGCGGCTCTCCCGGAGCGCCACCGCCCGCTGCCGGCAGCCGGTGCGCTTCGAGGCACGGGCGGCAGAAAGCGTGCAAACAGGGCAGGACGTGCAGGCGGCGTGCGGTGGCTCCAGGGACGCTACCGCCACCGCAGTTCCCCGACGACGTAGAGGTCTGTGAAGACGACGACGATGCAGACGAGTTGGAGGAGAGTGGTGCGGGCGAACCGCACATCTCCTTGCACAACAGGCAGATCTGGAAGTCGGTCTCAGGGAACGAAGCCATTTGCAACCCGGCCCAGAGGAGGGAGGAGACCAGAGAGGAAGAGGAGGAGGAGAGCCGACTATAAGTAGGTGGGGGAGCCGCCGACTCACTCAGAAAAATGCATCGATTAGGCCTGCAATCCAGAGCCGGCACCAGAGTGGCGCGGCCCGCGCACAGCCACCCCCAACGCTGCGGGCATTAAATGCCACTATCCAGAGGCGACAGATTTCTCCCGGCGTGCCTTCCGAAGCGATAGCGCCAGAACAAGTCCCGACACGCTGTGGGCGAGCAGGGGCGGGGAGGTCAGAGAACCCCCTGGAGCAGCTATGGCTTCACTTCATGCTCGCTAAGGGGAGTACCCCAAACGAGAGTCTGTTGTGCAATCCCCATCCCAGCGGGAGAAGAAGAATTTGGTTCGACGAGTTATTTGGTGTTTGGAGGTGTTTTTTTTCTTTTTTTCCTTTAGACAAATTTAGTCTCTTTTTGAGAGGAAAAGGATCCCCAAACTAGCAAAGACGTAGGCGCTTCGCCAATCCGATGTTCCCCCGCGCGGCACTGACCGCCTCGCTGCATGACGCGGCGGCTAGGGGCTCCTGGGTGGCCCAGTGTATTGCGCTCGGGGCTTGCGCACCGCCAGGCGCGGCCTCCCCTGAAGGGCGGGCGGCTGGCCCCGCCGCAGCTGCAGCTCCTCGTGGGGGCCCGGCCGTGGCCGCACGTTTGCACTACGCACGCGCGTCCCACGCGCCGCGAGTCTCCCGCGCGCCCGCCCAGTTCGGCCGCCCAGCTTAACACGCACGCGCGCCCCACGCGGCCGGGGCTTTGGCGCCCCCGCCTCACCGGGCCCGGGCGCCTCCTGCGCGCTCCTTTCCCTCCGGCTTAGCCGCTCTGTAGCGCGGGGCCGCAGGTCCCCGCGGGCCGCATTGAATTATTCATCGGCAGGAAGATATTAGATGTACCCGCTACCCGCTCCTCGCGGGCCGTCGTGCAATGCTATCCGCGCTCCGCGCGCCCCTCCTCCTCAAGTCCGTCCTCTCTGAAACCTTGGCAGCGAAGAGGGATCACATTTCCTTTGTCATCGGGCCATTTCGCCCTCTTCTAAGTCCCCCCTCCGATCCTGAGCCACGGGGACGGAGTCTTCTCCTGGGCACGCTGGAGTCAGTGGAATCTGCAATGTCCCCACGCGCCGAGCTCAGGAGCCGCGTGGTCAATGCTGCCCGCCAGCACCCGCGTCATCTTCCTTCTGGAACGAGTCGCGGAACAGGAATTGGGTGGCCTACCAGGCTTTGCACATGCGGGCCCTGGCCTCCCAGGGCTTTCACAACACCCCCACTTCGAGCGGCGTTTGTGCGCGCGCGCACCCCCTCTTTCTCTGCTTTGCCGCCTCTTCCTCCTTCACCTCCTCCTCTTCTCAGTACGCTGGTTATTGGGAGTGATCGGAATTCGGAATCCTTTTAATCTCCAAAGGAGCAAACTCACTTCCGCCGGAGTGCTGGGAGGGGGCTCAAGGGAGGGGCAGCGGGGGAGGGGGCTCCAGGCAAACAGGAAACATTAGCCCTCTCAGCACGGCTTGCTTTTGTGTGCTCCCTCCCTCCTCCCTCCAACCTCCTCCGTCCTCCAGGCCGCTAGGGAGATGACCGCTCCCAGGCTTCAGTGTGCCGACCTTTGAAACCTTTCAAGCGTGGAGAGTGACTCTTCCGTTTGTATAAAAAAGAAAAGACTTCATTCTGAATCCCCACTCTACAGAGGCTGATATTCCCTGCCCGTGAGATAGTGGTTTTCTTCCCACGTTTTTGTCTTACGTTTTACGGATTCTGGATGGATCTCTGTTATCGGCACAAAAACATCGCAGAATTAAGCGAAGCTAAAGTCAAGATGCGCAGAGGGGCTAGTTTGGACATTTGAATAGAGAAGAGGCAACTGTTCAGGGCGCTGGGACTAAGGTGAAGGCCCCTTGGCCATCTGGGTGGTATCAGAGGCTGCCTGACGATTCTGAAGAGGAACGTGCAAGGCTTCTGTAAAGACACTCATTGGAAGAACCGAGTGAAACATTTACCAGGATTGTGAGCATCCTGGCCTGGAGGTGCACACGCAGAACATTTTACCCATCTTAATATTGTCTTGCTGTTAGTGACATTATTGCTTTTGTTGTTAAGTGCTGTTGAATCGGTTCTGACTCATAGCATCCCTGTATAGGGTTTCCGAGGAGCAACTGGTGTGTTTGAACCACAAACCGTGCGTTTGAACCGAACTCTCCAGTGCTTGCCCTACATCACCACCAGAACTCTTGTTGTTAAGTGCTATCGACTCGGTTTCACTCATAGCGACCCTGTATAGGGTTTATGAGGTGCGGCTGGTGGGTTTGAACAGCCTACCTGGTGGTTCACAGTCCAGTGATGATCCACACCAGGAGTCCCTTAGTGACGTCGTGGTGTGCCGTGACCTTGTGGGTTAGTAGCTCGACTGGTAACTACTATGCTACCAGAGCTCCTTTTGTTGTTAAGTGTGTCCGTCAAGTAGGTTCCAACCTATAGGATTTCTAAGGAGCTGCTGTTGAGGTTGAACCCCTAATCTTGCAGTTCAAACGGCTTTGCCTTCTGGCACATTAATTCATAGGGTCACATCAGGACTCCAGAGTCAGTTTCGACCCATAGGGACCCTTTATAGGGTTTCTGAGGAGCAGCTGGGTGAGCTTGAGTCACCAACCTTGCAGTTTAAACAGCTTTGCAGTCTGGTACATTAACCCACAGTGCCATAAGCTCACATAGCCCATTGCTACATGGAACAACCTAAATGAATCTCAGAATCTTCACCTTGGGAAAACGAAGCCAGACATAAAGAACTCATGCTGTGTGATTCCAACTACAGGAAAGTATTTATTGTTGTTAAGTGCCAACAAGTCTGTTCCAACTCATAGTGACCTTGTATAGGGTTTCCATGGAGTAGCTGGTAAGTTTGAACTGCCGAATTTGTGGTTTGAAATCCACTGCTGATCCTACAGCGCCACACCGGAAGTATGGAATAGGGAAAACTCATCTATGGGATTACAAAAAGTATCTTTAGGGGTGATGATGAAGTATTGGCTGAGAAGCTCCGCTAAGGAAACTTCTGGGGTGATAGAATACAGATGTTGTTGTTAAGTGCCATCAAGTCAATTCTCACCCATAGGAACGTTTCACGTTTCCAAGGCACGGCTGGTTAGTTTGAACTGATTTTGCAGTCCAGCGCATTAGCCCACAGCACCACACCAGAACTCTAGAATACAGATAGGTATGTGTATTTGTCAGAATTTTACCTCTTTACTGGGTGTAAATTTATACTTCAATAAAAAAGAAGAAAAAACAAAATCCAGTGTCAATGTAAGCCGTGTCTGGATCATAAAGATGGGTAAAAAAAAAAACAAAAATCAACATTCACATATTAGATATCCCTAGCTCCTATTTTGATTTTGCTCACCAGAATTAAATGGCTTTTCCAGAGGAAGATCAACCTGTAAACAGCTCTTAAATCAACCCAGCTGGACAAATGTGTTGAAGGCCCCAGAAAGCTTCTGGACAACCTTCAAGCCAAGGACAAAGCCATCTGGGTTTCCAAGGAGTGGCTGGTGAGCTTGAACCGATGACCCATAGGGGGGATAGGGGGGATAAGAGAGGCAGAATATGGGAAGCGCTCCCTAATCTGAGGAAGTGCCTGTTGCCTGTCGTGGCAATCTATTGTGGGTGCTGAAGAATAAATGTTCAACTCACAGTGATGCAGTATGACAGAGTAGAACTGCTCCAAAGGGTTTACTAGGTTGTTATATGGAGTCTGGTGTGTCGCTGTGGGCTAATGCATCAGACTGTACAAGGTCGGTGGCTCAAGCTCACCAGCTGCTCCTTGGACACCCTACACAGAGTTACTATGGGTTGGAATCTACTTCCAGGGCACTTAACAACAAAAAACAACAACTTGGAAGCAGATCACCAGGTATTTCTCCTGCAGAACCTCTGGGTGGGTTCAAACAGCCAGTACTCTGGTGCTTAACCTCAAGCCACAAGGGCCCCTTGCAATTCCTGAACCCTCAACTGCCTTCAGGAACTCTCTACTTAGTGCCTGGAACAGAACACAGCACAATGAATATTTACTCAAATGTGTGAGGAATGGAAAAATTATTGATTAAATAGAACGAAAACCGAGCTCCTCCTCTGCCAGCTGAATGAAGTAGAGAAAGCCCTCTACAAAACTTAGAGAGGAGCTTCTCAGGCTACCAGCTATGGCCAACATAAGCAACTTTCTTCTATACAATTTTTGAGTTTCCCTTGTAAACGTGTACATACATTAATTTTCTACCAAAGCCCTTTTATGTATTTTTTTTAGTTTTGTTTCTTTTATTTTCTTTGATTGTTTTTCAGTCCTGCCCTTCTCTCCCCCTTTAAAACAAAAACAGAGGAAAACAGATGGGAAAAGAGAATTGCCAGAAGGAAGATGGCCCCAGAGGGTCAGAACAGGGATGGGCCAGACCTGCTGTCTCCTTCTTGGCTTGACCCCACCCACCAGCATCTTAAAAGGTTTTTTAAAAATTCCAAGAAAAAAACAAAAAGAAATACCTCAATACTCTGACTCAAATGGGATTGTCATGAGTCTTTGGAAGCTGGTTTTAGTATCTGAATGTCCACAACCTTGTCTTTAATTCCCAGTGCCAAGACTTGAGAAATTGAGCTTTAGTGAAAAGATAGTCCATTTGGGTCATCACAGAATAATCTGAAACAATTGGCTTTTGTGAGAGGTATATCTGAACGAATGACAACATGAGAAATATTCATTTGGGATCAAATATGTTCCTTTTGTGGCTTTGCACTAACTGGCTTTGCGGTTTTGACCATGTGATTTAACATCTTTAGATCTCACTTTCCTCATCTGTAAAATGAAATCTATGTACTCTGAAATCTTTAGACTCACAAATTCTTTTATTTTACTGTAAAAAAATCATAAAAGAGCATATGGCATACCATAGAGCCTTGCATGCTTAATTACTAACTATCTGCTATAGAGCAAATGCATGCTATTATTTTTCAAAAGATAAATATTGACTTAGGAAATAAAAAAACCTAACATAACTAAACATAGGGTAGTTTAGGTTTGTTTTTATTTGGAAACAGAGTATATAGTCTTGCTTATCTAAGAAAATAATCAAGTTTTGAACCCAAAATAAAACAGTATGATGGCAATTTTTAAAAAATACTTCAACAATTCTTCTGATCCTAAGACTCTAAAAAAATACTCGTATCTTAAAAGTGAGTTGTGGTTAAAATGGGGAGTAGTTCTTCTTATACTCCAGAAGCAGAGGACCCTAGAACCATCAAGGGAATAGAGTAGAAGTGGAATGTGGGGCCTTATCCAGAGAAGCAGGGACACAAAGATGGAGGCAGAGATGGGGACATGGATAGAGGGAGCAGCTGAGGTCTCTAGATTCATGGGAAGAAAGGGACTAAGAGATAGTGGCCAGGAGGCAGACTTGCAGAATGTGCCCTTTGG